TTTTTATAGAAGGAAGGGAGGAAGATAGAGAGAGAGAAACATCAATGTGCGGTTGCTGGGGGTTATGGCCTGCAACCCAGGCATGTATCCTGACTGGGAATCGAACCTGGGACACTTTGGTTCCCAGCCCACGCTCAATCCACTGAGCTACACCAGCCAGGGCAAAACCTAAGATGTTTTAAACTCACGGTGGGTTTATCAGTATGTGCCCCATTGTAAATCAAGGAGTATCTGCATACATACACACACTTATATATGTATTTAATATACGTATGTAATATGCAAAAATTCCTATTGGTGATAAGTGCTATAAAGAAAAATAAGGTGCCCTGGCTGGTGTGGCTCGGTGGACCGAGCACCTGCCTGCAAACAGAAGGGTCGCCCATTCAAGCTCTGGTCAGGGCATGGGCCTGGGTTGTGGAACCGGCTGGTGGCATGTGAGAGGCAACATCTCTCACGCACTGATGTTTCTCTCCCTCTCTTTCTCCCTCCCTCCCCCTCTTTCTAAATATAAATAAAATCTTTTTAGAAAGAAAAATAAAGCATGATATATTCGCAAATGATACATCTGAAAAGGAGTTAATACCCAAAATTTATAAAGAACTCATACTACTCAACACCCCCCCCAATCCAATTAGAAAGTGGGCAGAGAACCCGAACTGACACTTCTCTAAAGAGGATATAGAGAATAATAGACATGAAAAAGATGTTCAATGTCACTAAGCATCAGAGAAATGCAAATGAAAGCCCCAGTGTGAGATATCTCCTCACACTGGTCAGAATGGCTACTATCATCAATAAATCAACAAACAAGTGCCGGTGAGGATGCGGAGAAAAGGGAACCCTCGTACACTGTCGGTGGGAATGCAGACTGGTGCAGCCACTGTGGAAACAGCATGGAGTTTCCTTAGAACATGAAAAATGGGTCTGCCTTATGACCCAGCAATTCCATTTCTGGCGATGTATCTGAAGAAACTTGAAACACTAATTTGAAAAAAAAAACAACCATATGCACCCATATATATGTTCATTGCAGCGTTATTTACGATAGCCAAGCTATGGAAGAAGCCCAAGTGCCCATCAGTAGATGAGTGGGTAAAAAAAGCTGTGATACTTTTAAACAATGGAAAATTACTTGGCCATAAAAAGGAGGAAATCTTAACCATTTGTGACAACATGGACGGACCTAGAAGGTATTATGCTCAGTGAAATAAGTCAGAGAAAGACAGATACTACCATATGATTTCACTTAGATGTGACTCTAAAGGACAGAATAAACAAAAACTGAAACCGACTGGTAGACACAGAGAGCGAATTGGTGGTTGCCAGAGGGGGCCTGGGGACGGGGTGCAAGAGGTGAAGGAACTAAAAAGCACAAATTGGCAACAACATAGTCGTGGGGATGCAAGTAAAGCATAGGGAAGACAGTCAATAATACTGCAATAACTATGTATGGCACCAGTTAGGGAACTGAACTATATTATTGTCTAACCACTAAGTGGTACACCTGAAACCAATACAAAATAAAATTAAGAGAAAAAAAGAAAAATAAAGCATGTTAAAGAGACAGCAACGGTGATGAGATATTTCTTTAAATAAGGGGCCAGGTAAGACCTCTCGGGCGTACGAGCAGATACCTATATGAAGCAAGGAAGTAATGCATTCCAGGCAGAGGCAACAGCCAGTGCAAAGGCCTTGTGACAGAAATGTCTTATGGGCACAGGAAGGACAGCAACAAGGCCACGGTGGCTGGAGGGTAGAGCCTAAGGAATAAGCAGGAGGAAGGTGGAGAATGGGGTCTTACCAAGGAGAGGGTCCAGGTGATATCCTAAGTGCAATGGAAATCTATAGAGGGTTTAGCACCATGATCAGTTCTGATGATTTAAAAGGAAATCTGTTGTGTGGGGCTGAATTAGGGACAGGGGGTGGGGGTCTCAATGCCACAGGCGAAGACCCCCCGGGAGGCAGGGAGATGCTGCCACTCCCTGAGTGGAAAGGCTAGCAGAACACGAGTGTGCCCGGCCCGCTGCAGTCTGGCAGGGCACCGCAGGCTCAGGGGCAGCAGCACCACCCGGAGAGGGCCAGGGCCCAGGCCAGGCAGCAGGCGGGACCGAATGTGAGTCTCAGGACTCACTCCTCCAGCAAGTCTCCACGACACCCTCGCCCCACAGCTGCTGGCGACTCCCTCTCAGGCCCAGCAGGCCATGACGACGATGTTCCTGCCTTTTCTGAGTCCTCCCCCCTCTGGACCTGGAGCTCCTGCCGGCAGGGTCTGTCTGGTTCACAAGCACTGGGATTGGCTGGGAGTGTGCATATTTACCCACAAAGCCAGAGGCTGGGTGGGCAGATGGCAGCAGGTCAGGAGGGGAAGGTCTGGATGTCTAACTTCTTCCAATGGAACGGACACTGGCCTGCTCCAGGAACGCTGATCCTTCCCTGCAGGGCCTGGATGACACACCTCTCTCATCTGTGTAGACTCTGACACTTAACGGACCCTGTTACAGGGATGCACCCCTAGCTCCTCATCACCCATGCCCAAAACCAAGGCCGAGCTCCTCAAAGCCCCTCCCTTTCTGAACCCTGCCCCCGTTAACTCCATGGTGCCCAGGGCACAGGGGAATGCTCACTGGTGTGCCCACCACAGATTGTGCACGAAAATCTGTAGTCCTGAAAACCATCCTACGAAGTGGATGTTCACTACTTTGCAGATGAGACAACGAAACCAGAAAGGTGGTCTGCCTCAAGGTCAAAGAGCCAGTAAACAGCAGAGCCGGCCTCTGTCCTCTGAGCTCTGTAGGCGCCTGATACTTGCTGGATCACTGACTGAATCAAGCGTCTAAGGCACCCATTTGTTCTTCTCCCTACCTTTTTAAAGACTTTTTAAACATTTATTTTTAAAGAGAGAGAACTGAATTTGTTTTGCCACTCATTTATACATTCCTTGGTTGATTCTTGTATGTGCCCTACTGGGGATCAAACCCTTGCCATATCGGGACGATACTCTAATTGACTGGGCTACACGGCCACGGCATCATTCTCCCATTACCTGCTGTTCATAGTAAAGGATGCAGACATCTGTAACACCCACCAGGATGGCTTTAGACAAAGACAGTAACAAGGGTTGGCAAGGATGCGGAGAAAGTGGAACTCTCACACATTCCTGGTGGGAAAAGGAAATGGTGCTGACTCGTTGGAAAACAACTGGGCTGTTCCTCAAAAAAATTACAGTTACCATATGACTGACCCAGCAATTCTGCTGCTAGGTATATGTGTGTCCAAGGGTGTTAAAAACATCGGTCTAATCTGCAACTGATGCACACTGTTAAATGTGAGCTGTAATGGAAAAACACAATAAACACCCATAAAGCTATGCAAAAACTTGCATGTAAGTGTTATAGCAGCACTATTCATAGTAGACAAAAATGGGGAAAAAAAACAGATGTCCATCAGTTAATCAGTGGATAAATACTTGGTATTTCCATACAATAGCATGATGTTCGGCAATAAAAAGGAATGAAGCGCCGATACCTGCTGTGACGTGGATGAGCCTTGAGGACATTGCCACGTGCAAGTGGCCAGGCACAGAAGGCCAGTCCTGTGTGACCGCACGTCTGTGGAACGCCCAGAGTGGGTGAGTCCACAGGGACAGGGAAGGTGTATCAGTGGTTGCCAGGGCCTGGGAGTGCACATTTGGGAGGGGACGAGGAGTTACTGCTGATGGGCATGAGTGTCTTTCTGAAGTGGTAAGAATGTTCTGGAACTAGGTGCTGGTGGTGATGATGGCACGACTCTGCGTAAACTAAAAACGACTGGCATAAACACTTCAAAAGGATGAACTCTCTCAGCAAAGTTGTTAGAAGAGCAGACTCAGGGGTCGTCCTGCTCCAGGCCCCAGGCCGTGCGCCGGCTGAGCAAGGGAGCACCCTTCGCAGAAGTGTGGCCACAGCAGTGGGCGCCGGACACCACAGCCTGGGCCTAGAGGGCAGCTTGTTCGCTCAGAGTAGGCAGGAAGCCTGCCATCTTTTTCTCTAACGTACAACCCAAAGCCCCGACTGTCCTCCTGCAGTTTTGAGTCGTGGGTTTACCAGGTCTCCCGAGAAAACGCCTCAGTGGTCCCATGTCAAACATCACCTCTTACTATTACAGACTGATGAGCTTCCCCGGAGGGCTGCGGGATGCCAGGGGCCAGGGCTCAGCACTCAGCAGACTGGGAGAATCCCAAACCTGCCTGTTTGGGGAAAGGAAACTATAGAATCATTCACTGAGAGCCTAAGTGCTGGGTCTAATACTAGGTTCTTATTTAACCTTTAGCTGCACTGAAGGTAGCTCTACCCTCCCTTTTTCTCAGGGAGGGGATGTGCGGCGAGACTGGATCCCCTGCTCAGCGGCAGGTGGTGAAGTCTGTGCTTCCAGAGCACTAAGCATCCAGTCACCCAGTGCTCCACATTCCCCCGGGCTTGTTTTCTCCTCCGCACACAGGCCCCATGGTGGTGTAGGAAGTGCCTGGCTTTTAAGGAGTGCCAGTCCTCTTTCCTCAGGGAGCATGGCTTCTGCTGGCCAGGCAGAGGGAGATGGGCCGTATGCACTTCCTCCCACCCTGACCCACCCCTGCGACCTCGTGTCATTAGTGCCCTCTGCTCTCTGGGCCTGGCTACTTCAAAGCTCAGAGTTGTCCCACTCTGGCCCTGCTCCTGAGAGCTCAACTTCTTGCTTCTTCCGAGGGCAGAACTGGCAGCAGCACAGTGCTGGGGCTGCGGTCCTCTGAGGTGTCTGGAGGAAGGGGCCCGCCATGCTGGCTGAGGGCCTGGACCCCTGCGAAGGGCACACGAGGCGTGGTGTGAGGATTGGCTGAAGGACGTCAGGCGGTTTTCTCATCAAGCACCCGAGGTCTTTCTCTCATGTTGTTCACCCACTGGGACCAGACAGGGGACAGGAGAGCTGTCACATGGGTTGGCTTCTCCTCTTTCCCAAACAGGTGGCGACAAAACCACAAACACTCGTTTTCAAATCACATATGGCTCTTTGACCCCATCAAATAACTTTATTCACACAAACGTCCCTTAATTTACAAAGCCTCAGTCATTCATACACATTAGGGGGATCCACAGTGTTCAAGGAACTTAAATATGATGTCTCATACCAACCCAAGTAAACCAAGTACAAAAAATATTTATATAAAGTTGTTCACACATAGGTCCTAGATTACCAGCTTCTGTGCAAGAAAAAAAAAAAGAAAAAGAAAAACAAAACAGACCTATTAACTAGTATTTGAAACGAACGTTGAGCCTGGGTTAAAAAGCTCCCCCACCCCGAGATGGCCCTGTGGCTGTTACACCATGGCGACATACTCCTGGCTCTGATGGCAAGAGGCCCCTGGGGCACTTGTCTTTAAAATGTCCCTAAATGAACTCCCTCCTGTGACCCCTACAACCTTGGTGCAGGGGGTGAGGGGGCATGCTTCAGGCAGGCCGATGACAGTGGGTTCATCACCTGACGGCCGTAGATGCGTACACTAGTCAACCTCACCTCACGTCTCCCAGTTCCCCTCCACGGGGTGCCTCTCCAAGCTGAGGCGGGCAGGACCAGAGATGGGCCTGTGTCCTCCCGAAGGCGGCGGCACCCCAGCCCCCTGAAGCCCTGGATAGTTCAGGCTCAGCTGTGGTCAGGCTGCCAGCTCCTAGGAGACTCCAGCACCTGTCTGTCGAGGGGCTGCCAGACAGACCGAGGGGGGGAAGGAGTCATGCAGGGCAGTAACCCAAGGGCCCCACTGGAGTCAGAGCCACCAGTGCCCTTGATGTGAGTGTGGGCACAGCAGGGTCAAGGGTGGGAGGCGCACTCGGAGGGCGGGGCTGGAGGCCCAGGGGACATGGAACAGGGCGAGGGCAGAGTCAGACCCCGGTTTCCCCAAGCTTTCAAGACGCCCCAATGCTGAAACCCAGACAGACATCCGTTTCCTAAGGCAGCCAACAGCATAATAGAGAGGAGTCCCACGATGCCAGCTCTTTTCCTTTTCTTATAAACAGATTCCACCAAAAAAAAAAAATAAATAATAATAAAAAAAAATCATCTTATTGCTCCAACACTGGTTCTCTAGGAGGTGACTGATATGTTAAGGAACAGAGAATCTTAAGGTAAGGAATGAGAGGTGGGGAATGTCCAGGGGCCAGATGGCCGTGAGGAAGATGGCGAGTGGTCCTAGCACCACTGGGTCGGGGGGCAGAGGAGTGCAGGGGAGTGTGCCCCACCCCCCATCTCTGCCTTCGTTCACTCTGGGGCCACCACGGGCAGTGCCACGAAGGAGGCCAGGCCTGGGCTGTCCCGGGAGCCAATCTCCACCTAGTGTTGGGCACGATTCTCCTCTGGCTGTAAACAGGGTTATTTCTCAAGTAAACACGATATACTCCCTCAGAAAGGCAGCCGTGATGGGCGAACCACATCTTGGCAGGAGAGAATCCCCATCCTCCTGTCCCAAAGCCTCTGGGGTGACAGGAGACTGAGGCCCGCAACCTTAGCTCCCAGTGCCCAGGAGGGGGCCCGATGGAACCGGTCTTGGATGAACCGACTGCGGCATCCTCCTGGCTAGAGGTGGAAGGCAGGGATCTGCTAGGTAGTAAGAGGCAGAGTGCACCTGTCGGAAGCAGTTTCTCCATCCTCGGCTAAAGCTTCTAGAGAGTGCCCTGGTGGTGGGTGCGGAGAGGTGTACCTGGCTGCAGCCTTCAGGAAGGGATGAGGGGGGGAGTGCCGGGAGCATAACCCTTCCCATGTGGCTATCTGTGAACAAGAGTGAGAGTTTGAGACAGGTGGACACAAGCAAGGAGGAAGAAACGTACTCCAAGAGAGCCAGGGGTCTGGTCAGGGAAGGCAATGGAATAAGGCACTATGATCTGTCTTGCTGATTCCTCTCACTTAGGGGAAACTGAGCTCAGAGCCACAGGGCTGAGGCCCAGCCCCTCCCTCCAACAGGCTATCCTTTTCACAGGTTGAAGGAGAGAATAACTGTTCTAAGGTGTGGAAACTTCTAGAACTTGGACAAGCTTAACGAACTTGGTGGCACTGAGATGATGCACCACAGAGCTGCTGCCAGGCCCGAGACCCGGGTGGAGAGGGTGAAAAGGCAGAAAGAGGCGTGGAAGGTGACCACAGCGGGAGCAGGTGGCAAGTGGCTGAGAAAGACGACAGGAGCCACCGGGGCCCAACCCACTGACGGGGCACAGCCAGCACTTGCCGGGGCGGACTCCCACCGAGCTGCCGGGGTGCTTCAGGCCCACAGAGTGGAGAGAGCGAGCGGAGGGAGGAGAGCGAGAGACAGGCACTTGGGGGCTAACGAGCCGGCCCTCGGAAGCTAGGGAAGGAGGGCTGTGAATCTTGCAAGGTAAGGGTGTGTGGAAGCTGGCTACTCCCAGGCTGCCCACCTCACCCAAAAGGTATGGGCATCCTGGGACCTACAGGGGACCCTCTGGTGCCAGGAAAAATAACCAAGGGGGAGCACCATGCTCCCGGACCTCATTCGGGCGAGCTGGGATGCCTGGGGAGGGCGGAAGAAAAGGAGAAGCAAACGGTAAATAACTTGTCAGGCTCAGGCCCTCACGAGGGACAGAGCATAAACCACAGCCAGGGAGAGTCGGGGTGCTGAGTCTGGGGACCGTTTTCCCCATTTGCTCATGCAGGGAGAGAGCTGGCCCAAGGGAAGGCGGGGTGGTGGGGTGGAGGAGTGTGCTCTGCAATCAGGGGACACTGTACCCCCAACCTCCCAGCTGCGGCTGAGTACACACAGAAGTCAAAAGAACCAAGAGACGAGTGACCACAAAGGATTTCAGCCGGGGAACGGCAGGGCCTGGTTGCCACCTGCAGCCCCGCTGGGTCCTGCCAACCACAGCCAACCGTCTGCCCAGGAGGAAGACGCCTGGTATCTGAGGGGCTTGAGAACAAGCTGAGTGTGAGCAAACACACTGCCAAGTGTGAGCACTCACGGGATGCTCACCCCTCCCAAGCCCCCCCGAGACGCAAGACGGGGACTGCTGCTGTGTGGGGAGAGCCCCTCGGCCACACACAAACTTCAGTGTCCTCCCGCTATCTCCCCTATTGATCCTATGCTGGGTTTGAGAAAACAAAGAACAAAAATAAACACAAAGGAAGAACTCCTCCCCACCCCCCAAAGACCCTTTCCCGGAGTAGCAAAGTAGTGTGCCCAGGTGAGGAGGGATGGCACAGGCCGGGCTCCCATCCCTGTCCTTGCACTGAGCAGAGGACGCGGGGCTCGGAAGCCGCGATGAGGGAGGCTGCGAGTGTCATGGAGAGCAGAGGCTAAGCCACATTGACAGACACTGCTCATGGGGTCCGAGGGCTCACAGCTGCAGAAGCACTGGGGTGGCTGACCCACAACTGGGCACCTACAGGCCACAGGGGATGGCCCATCACCTCCCTGCTCTTGGCAGTTCCCCCTGTCCCCATCAGACACACTGACACCAAAAGCGAGCACCTGGCAGTACGCCCCTGGGGTGAGGGAGACGGCGCCTGACGCTGGCACCGTGAGTGATGGCATGACACTCGGCACAGAGGACACACCCTGCACTGCAGTGACAGCCAGTCTAGGCCACCCAGTTCTCATGGTGACGGTCACAATCGGACCTCAGGGACTCAGGCAGCCTCTGTGACGACCTGGATGTCTGGTGGGCACATGTGGGAAGAAGATGCAGGAGCAGGAGGTGAGGGGTCGAGCTACAGGTGCCGGCTAAAGACCCAGCAGTGTCCCAGGCAGAGTTTGGCACGGCAGTTTTTTCCTGGGGACCTTCTTCTGGGAGGAAGATCACTAACAGAAAGGAAGGCATGTAGAGCTGGGGTGGGCTGACCGCTCAACTGCCAGGAAGTGGGAGATGGTCACCTTCTGTCCCATTCCCTCACCCCCTGCCCCCACCACAGAGACCAGGATGGTAAAGGGCAGGAGATGGAATGGATTCCCACCACTGTGGGTCCTGGTGTGGCCTAGGGTTTCCAACAGCTTAAAGGGAACACGCCCCTAGTTTTAGAGCTTCTTTCTCGAGTTCTCTGGGCCAAACCCCGGTGTCATCTGTTCCAGGTGGTTCTTCATCCAAGGCCCAAGGGCTGGCCAGGAGCAGCCCACCAGGGAGCCTGGCAGTTCTGCATCTGGTGGAGGGGTGGCCCAGAGGCTCCTTCTGTCTTCACGCCCCCATTCCAGGAGAAACACCCCCATTCTCCAGGGGGAGGCAGGCCTCCGGGGGAAGGGAGGTGTTGTAAGTGGAACTGAGAAATGGGTAAAAGGGAAAATAAAGGACAAAAGCAAAATAGCTCCCCCAACCCCTTAAAAGAAATTAAAAATGAAACTTATACATATGCTTTGTCCATATTACATTTCTTTAAAGAAATTGGTGCCTGTCCGCAGCAGAGCTTCTGCTCTTTTGAAGTCTTAAATTGTTTAAATTAAAAAAGAGATAGAAAAAAAGAAATAAAAGAGAAAGACAAAAAAATAAAACAAGTTAAGCAAAACCGAAGGGGGAAAACCCAAACGAAAGCTTCACATTGCTGGAGGTCCAGCTGCCGGGAGGTCGCCAACGGCCGAGCCGCCACCTGTACCCTCTGCCGTCCTCTGAGAGAGACTGGATGAGACTGCGGGTCCCGAGGATCAACCTGGAAGACAGAAGGCAGGGAACAAGTGGGCGCTGGGCCAGTGGGCTTGGGGTGCCTCCAAGCTCCAGGTCTCCCGCCAGGTGCCAGCACCCAACCCGGGCGAGCTCGGCGCTGTGATGTGCTGGGCGCTGGGGGAGAAGGGTTCTAAAGCTTTATCTGAAGCCAGCTGGGCTTCGCTGTTGCCACCCTGCTGCAGCCACACAGCCTCAGTACTCAGACAAGGAAACGGAGGTGCAGGCTGAGCAGCATGCCCAGGGTCACGGGCTAAAAGGCAGACCCCGGCTGGGAGCCCACGCATATAATTCCAATCATGAATCCTGTGCCTCTCTATTGGCTACCTGCACTGTTTAAAAAAAAAAAAAGCCCCCAGACCCTAGCCGTCTGTCCCCACAGATGGGCCTTGGAGGCCCTGGTTCCCCTCATACTTCCTTCCCCTCCCTCTCTAACTGTGCTGCCCCAAAACTTCAAAGCAACTCTCATGGGTTTACTACTTAACCCTGGGCTGTGGACAAATTGGTCTTGTCAACCTGTACCATTATGAGGACCAAATGAACTAATACATGTGAAACTTAGAACAGTGCCTAGCTCTGTTATTATTGGCTATTATTTGGGAATCAACCGCCTTGGTGCTGGGCCTCAGGAACCAGACAAGCCACCTGCCCTCCAGGGACTGGTCCAAGTGGAGGCCTAGAAGGCACGACCTTGCAGAGGGCAGCCCCGAGCCGACCCACACCCCAGCCCAGCTTCCCCAGCCTGAGCCTGGTCAGCGCCAAGTGCAGCCCTGGTCCCAGGCAGGGTGGCGCCAGGGCAGCAACGCCCTACCCGCAAGTCACGTTAAGTCATCTAAGAGCTTCAAGGGGCCCACTCTCCCCCTGCACAACTGAACTGGACAAGTCTTTCATCATGTGCGTGAAATGCCCCCATTGGCTTCAAAGCTCTGTAAACTCTGTGGTGTGAGGGGTGCGCCCTCCCAGCCCAGCCCTTCCCACCATTACTTGCCGCCCGTGCCGTCTGCCAACACTGGCCATCGTCCTCTGGTCCTGGCTAGTCCTCCAGAGCGGCAGAGGGGTACAGTGAGATCGGACGGTTTACGTCCCGTCAGCCTCAGTTTCTGCCTCTGAGAAATGGCAGGAGTAGCGAAAAAGAACCTGGCCCACAGCAGGGACTGAGCTACTGGAGGTGCCCATCCTCTCCCAGCCATCCACGCCCACCGGAAACAGAGAATGCCATTAGATTTAAACAGGCCGTGGGCCTCAGCCATTTAACCGCCAACACTGCCTGGCAGCGGGCTGGGGTGCCACGAGAAGGTGCGCCCCTCGCTGGGGGAGCGCGGCGAAGCCTCCGGAGAGCGATCCCCCAGCGTGTTTTCAGAGCCTCCAACACGCTTGGGCCTGCAGACCCCGTGATTCCACCTCTGGAAATGCAGCCTGGCTGGGAGCCCCAAACACGAGGAGGACTACATGAAGATGTTCACTGAGGCGTATTTAAATTACGTGGTAACCACCCATGAATCCAAAAACAAGAGATTTAAGCGAATGACCCATCCACTCGAGGACATTTACGGAGGGAGCAAGAAGGCGGTGTGGCATTTCAAACCACACTACGGCCGAGGAACTTCGCTGGGGGCGGTGGGGAAACGCAGGCTGCACCGCGTGGCCATAACTACGTGATACACAAAACCTCCAAGTACGGGAAGTCCGGCCAAAAACACAACACACTGTCGCCTTTGTCAAGCGTGTGCTTCTTCTCCCAGCCCCATTTTCCTCTGTGGTTTCAGCACTGGGCACACGCCGCGCTGAGACGGCCGACTCCATGACGGACAAAACCGCGCACTCCAGTCCACGGGGAAGGTCCGCGGAGCAGCGCGCAGTCCAGGGAACCCGCCCTGGGGCTTCTCTGGGCTCTTCCACACATGGTGGATGCGGGGAACTCCCCACCCGTCAGACCTCAGAGGTGAGACTGTGACCTCCTCCCCGGCTGCACAGGTGAGGTGACCGACATCTGTGCTCGGGGAAAAGTAGAATGACGAAGGCACTGGAAAGGTGCTCGATCTGGAAACAAAACCCTGGATTTCTCAGGCCCAACTTTTCCTCTGCTGCTTCTGTTTCCCTGCCTGTCAACAAAAATCCAATGGTGGCCTTGCACCTCAGCTTTTGACTCAAAAAAATAAAATCATCACACGCATGTCCTGTGATGACCCAGCAGCCTCCTCACGTCCGGCTTCGCTCAGCATCCTCTGCCCTGTGCTCTCAGTGGACAAAGCAGAGCACCCAGGAGACAAGGGGAAAGGAGAGTATGGGGAGGACCACACCACCCAAGACCCTTTAAGTCCCCGTGCACTGTGACAAGAAAAGCCTGCTAAATTGTACGGTCTTGTGTGATCTGTTCAGATAATCTCTGGGACCAGATAAGACCTTTCAACACTGCTTTCCTCCCTCCCCTGGTAGGACCCAAGCTAAGACAACCTCCTCAGGAGGGTGATAAGCCACAGGAGAGTGGCCACTGGCAGCTGAGGCAGTGTGGCCCAGGAGGCAGAGAGACTCAGAGGTCAGAATGCCTTTTTACACACTGAACTGGCAGAACAGAGCACGACAGCGGAAGGTTCGGCCAACAGCACGGTACTCTGCTCCTGAGCTCCTGAGACTCCAGCGTGTAATGATCGCTGTAGTCACCAGGTCCTCTGCCCGGAATCAAGGCTGACATTTCCCACAGGCTCTTCCGCCCTCCCTCTAGCTTTGGCACTGGCTCCGGCCCTCCTGGTAGGTCTGCTGGCCTCACTCTGTGGGCAGGGACAGGGAAAGGAGAGGGAACTCTCTTCCATGGAGACGACCTGGACTTTGAGTCTCTCTCCTGTCTCCCTTTAGAGAAGGCACAAACTTCCAGGGAGCCAGTGGCAGAAACCTCATGGCCACGGACAGGAATGCTCGGGCTGACGCAGCAGCAGGCTCTCCCAGGCACTTGGAGCAACGGAGCAAATGACCTGGTCCTGGCCCTGGCAGGTGTCTGCACCTCAGCCCCCTGGCTGCTGGGCTTCACTGCCCGGTTACCAGCTTCCACCAACCAGGGCTTGCCTGGTCTTTCGGCAGAAGGCCTACCTCTGACCAGAGCCCTCCCTGGAAGGCAAAGCCGCACCCACTGAGCACAGATGGCGGTGTGATAAACCTAGAGATGGCATCGGCAGCACGTTCTTTCACTTTCCCGATCATCCCATCTGATGAGGGTGAATTTACACATTTTAAGAAGGAAGTAGGCCCAGAGAGGTGGAGCAGTCTAGCCCACATCACACAGCTGCTGAGCAGCAGAACCGGCACTGAATCCAAACTTCTGCAGCCCCTTCACTGCCCAAAATCTTTCCACTATGAGTGTGTGTTTGGTGCTTTCGAAGGCGGCCCAGCCAGTAGTCTAAACAGCCCGCATTTGAGGTGGTCTTGAGATGGCAATGGTGTCAGTGACCAGGGAAAATGTGTTGGCCCGTTCTGCCCTTAGTTCAGCTCTCGGACCGGTTCCCTCAGCACATCTGACCTCCTTATTCCTCCATAATCGTCACCAACCGACAGCAATAACTTGCCCAGCATTTCATATGTGCCAGGCATGTTCTATGTAGACACAATGCTTCCTGTGTGACAACTCAGTCATGCAACTGTCAACCCTCCTATGTTGCTTTCTACTGGCCATGTTGCAAAACGGACCCAGTGTTTTACACCTACTGCCTCACTTCACGCCACAGACCTCTGGGGGAGGAGCTGGGCACTCTGGGCTTGGCGATGAGGCAACGGGGGCGCGGCAAGAGCTGCAGGCTAGCAAGTGGTAGAGGAAAGGGTCTGAACCCAGGTCTGTTTCAGTCCGAAAACGCCTGCTTTTAACACGTAACCTGTAATGTAAAATCCTCTCCTACCGAGACAAGAAGAGCTTACTCAGAGTTTAAAACCCATGTGAGCCTTTCATCCACAGATTCACACAGAAGAAGGCTCCCGGGAGGCCTGGCTCCGGACCTCTGCACAGGTCTGGTGTCCAGAGCAGGGACCGGGACGTGGTGTCAACCAGGCAGTGAGGAGGAGGAGCCTTCTGGCAAGTGCCCCCACCAGCCAAGCACTTGTCTGGTCTGTGCAAGGAGACTGGGGAACCCAACTGTTCCCCTAAGGCCACTGGCAGTGTGGGGACCACAAGCTGGGGGGAGCTGCGGTGGGAACAAGTAGTGATGGGGCCAGGGACCGGTGAGCTCACACTGAAGTGAAGCCATCTGGCTGGTGTGCTCACAGACCAAAGCGCCGCACGAACTCAAATGGCAGCACTGCTGGGTGGGTGGCCGAGAACTCACCCTTACCTAAGTTTTCCCTGCAGCCCTGTGTGGTGATGTCATTGGTGTAGCTACTGATACATCTGATTTGCCAGACACCAGGCAAGACTTAATATGCACTGCTTCCTTATGCTTCCTTTGTCCAAACAAAGGACCACGCAGGAATTCTCTCCATTTCTACTGATGAACAAATGGAGGCTCAGGTATTCGTTTTCAGCCTACCATGCTGTGGAGGCACAAAGGCAAAGGTAATCCCCAGGTCACAGAGGGCAGGTCTCCGAATAAACAGGATTAGCTTCAAAATGAGCCATTCTTCACTTGTTTAACACACCGAACAAAGCAGCTGGCTTTTCCTACTCAGCTATCAGCATGCCAGCCCTTGGGGGAGTTCAGTGGCCCCAGCACCACTGTCAATTTCAATCTGTCAGAGGGACCCAAGCCAAGCTTTCCGATGCATCCTCCCTCTGAGGCTGGGCTGGCGGCGGAGGTGCTGGGAACAGGGCGAGACCAGGGACTGCGCTGTGAACAGCCATCGGCCCAGCCTACGGGGGCCCTGCTGCCCGGGTATGAAACATGGGGGTGCAGGTGACAAACAGGGTCACAGCGTTTCCATCTTCAGGTCAACAGAAGCGGCACGATGTGAGGGAACAGGAAACAAAAGCTTACAGATTACTAATTAAAGCACACCCACCAGGCGCTTCAA